TTCTATAGCACAATAATTAAAATCAAGAATCAATAAATAGCCCCAAATTTTAATACCATTCCATTGGGGATTCAGTTTCAACACATGAATTTTGGAGGGTCACAAACATTGCTTTCAATTTGATTACTGTCTAGTGTTTTTTTGTTTGTTTGTTTGTCTTTTTTTTTTTCCTTTTAGGCCTGAAGAAATCACTATAGCATTGCTGGTAAAGCATGTCTACTACCACTGAAAGTTAATTTTTGTTTGTTTGTTCAACTGTATTTCTTAATTTTTCATTTTGAGTGATAGTTTTGTTGAATATGAAGTTTCTGGTTGACGGATTTTTATATTATTAGCATGTTCATTATGTCATTACACTAAATTTTGACCGCTTACTTTCTGATGAGAAATTAGGTATTAATATTATTGAGAATCCCTTGTACATAATAAATTGCGTCCTTTTTCTTACTTTCCATATTCTCTCTTCTTTGACTTTCTGCAGTTTGATGATAATGTTTCTAGATGTAGATCTCTTTTTGTTTTGCCTTAGAGTTTGTTAAAATTCTTCAATGTGTAGATTCATGTCTTTCAAAATAATTAGCCAAGGGCCAGGGTTGTGGCTCAGTGGTAGAGTGCTTGCCTAGCATGCATGAAGCACTGGGTTTGATCCCCAGCACCATATAAAAATAAACAAAATAAAATAAAGATATTGTGTCCATCTACAACTTAAAAATATTTTTAAAAATTAGTCAATTTTTCTTCAAATATTTTCCTTCTATTTCTCTATTTTGAACTTTATTATTTATATATTTGTACTCCTAATGGTATAGGTCTCTTAGTTGTGTTCATTTTTCTTTTTTTTTCTCTTTGCTTTCCATACCAGGTAATCTCAATTGGCTTATCTTCATGTCTATTGATTATATCTTTTGCCTATTCAGATGTGCTGTTGAGTGTCTTACCTAGAGAGCTTTTCATTTAAATTATTATGTTTTTCAACTCTAGAAGTTCTGTTTTGTTCCTTTTAAAAATTTCAACCTTTTTGTTAATATTCTCAATTTGGTGAACCATCGTGCTTTTTCTTTAGTTCTTTGTGCATACTCTTTGAGCATATTTAAAATAGTTAAAAGTCTTTGTCTAGTGGTCGAAGATCTAGACTTTGTCAGAGACAGTTATTATTAATTTTCTCTGTGTGTGCACCAAAAACTTCTGGTTTCTTTGCATACTTCATGAGTTTTGGAAGAATACTGGACATTTTAAATATATAATGGTGACAATTAGATTCTCTCAGCTTCTCAGTTTTGTTTTTCCAACTTGTTGTGTGTGATGCTATGTCTAGTGATTCTTCTGAACTTACTTTGTAAAATGTTTATGTTTTGTTGTGTGTGGCCCCTGGAATATCTGCTTATTAGCTCAGTGGTCAGCTGATGATTTGACAAAGATTCCTTAAATATTTAGAACCAGACAAAACACACACACACATACACCTGTCTTCTAGTCCTTGCTGGTGGCTCTGTGTGTATGTTGTATCATACCTTCAATATTCAGCTGGCTAGTGTCTTATTCCCCAGTCTTTTTTCCTACACTTTGTGATGTGTCCATTGTTTGCCCCGACATTTTCATTTGCCCAATTTAGCACCATCTAATAAGTTGCCTTTTAATGTTTTTAACCATTGCCTTCTCTGCCCTAGTAGACTTCTGAGTTTGGCAAAGTAAAGGCAGCCCTTTTATACAATGTCAAGTTGCCAACAGGCAGATCAAAACAACCACAATTTTTTGAGAATACCTCTGCTCCCTCCAGCAACAGAAACGTCACCAAAAACTTAGGTTAGCATCTTCAATAGCCTAAGAATTAGCTGAGTTCTAATTCTTAAGTGCTTGCCTGATTGCTGTAAACTTTGATTGGTTTCCAGAGTTCAGTTAAAGTTGATTCTGACAGATTTTGCCAGGTTATTCACTGTTTTTTGGAAGGTCAGGCCCTTAGAGTTTTCTATCCTGCCAGTGTTCACTGCCATGTTCATCACCCATTGTTTCAGTTTTGACGAGCATATATTACTTTCATTTGTTTTTTAAAGAATGACAATGTCTTTTCTTTACAGAGGTTATCCAAATGTTAAAATCATTCATAGTGAATCATTCATAGTGCCAGAGAACTATGTCACACTTAGGAAAAGAATCCTGGCAAATTAATCCAGTAGATCTCTAATATCAACTGTGTTAAAAATGGTCAACTCAGTCATAGCCCTGTCAAAAACTTTTCTCTATGAGCCAAAGAGATAAAAGCTCTCTGCTGAAGTTGGAAGTTGAATGTGTTAAGATTCAATCCTAGCAGAAAGTAATGTAAAATGTGTTAGACAAGCCAACACATATCAGTCTTTACCTTTAAAACTTCCACTGGAAGCCAGGTATTATACCTATAATCCCATCTACTCAGGAGGCTGAAGCCGGAAGATCACTTGAGCCCAGGAGTTTGATGAAAGCCTGGTCAACATATTGAAATACTATCTCAAAAAACAAAAATACACAAACAAAATTTCAATTGAGTATTTTCATACTGTAGTTATGATAACATGTTCAATATACTTTATCAGATCAATTGGAATATAACACTTCTTCTCACTGCCGTCCCAAATCAGTAGCCCTTTGTGAAGTTATTAAGCCCAAAATTGAAGCTAACAAAGGGGACTGATTATGAAAAAGAATCAAGTATTTTCTGTATTTGAATTCTCTTTTCATCTATATGCAAGCAGTGTGTACTTGAAAAATTACTTAACCTCTCTCTCTCACCTCATCAGTAAAATGGACCTGGTAATAACTGGACTTACATTATAGGTTTGTTATGTGGGTAAAAACAAGTTAAGATTCATTAAGCATGTTACATTATATAAATACATCATCTAATTTTAGGTACAACATGTCTAGAGCATATCTTTTTAGATAGAAACATCTCTAAGCATTTCAGCTTTATCTACTTAAAATAGAGCTTATTGGTGAAATAACTCTATTGGGTGGGTTCTTAAGAGGAAAATAGCCAGGCAGGGTTTTTGTGTAGCCTGAGAGATCAATTCCCTAACAGAAATTGGCTGTATACATGAAGTTGGTGAACTGCATCTTAAAATGTAATGATCTGGGAGATCAGGAGGATGGGCCAACATAGAGATAAGGCTAAAAAGATGGGAAAATACAGTTGATGAAGACACTAAAGGTAGCTACCGAAGTGTTTGTAACAGGAGAACCATCTGGCCAAATTTGTTTTTGGAGTATATACTGTGACAGAAAAAATGGAGTATTTGGGTCAGAATGGCAAGAATGGAAGCAAGGAAATGCCTTGGGTGACTATTAGTCATTTTTATTTTTAAATAAGTCATAGATGTTATATGATTAGCATTTATCAATTTTTTAATAAAAAATATATGTAGCCAGGCACGGTGGAGCACGCCTGTATTCCCAGCAGCTCCAGAGGCTTAGATAGAAGGGGATGTGGCTCAGTGGTCGATTGCCCCAGAGTTCAATCCCCAGTACCCGCCCCCACCAAAAAAAAGATATGTAAGTTCTTATTTTATAAGAAATCTACTTTGGGAGTAATTTTCTCTATGGTATAGTCTCAATTTAATAAAATATGAAGTCCAAATTAGAGAATGGTTATTCAGTTGACACTTGGCTTCTGATCAACAAAAAGATTCATCACACATTTCCATTAGACAATCATTCCTTTTACCACAGATGACCTGTAGTCTAATGCAGGGAGGACATCAATTTCATTGAGCAAATTAGAATAAAAAATAACCATATTACCTGCAAAACTTACTTTGCTAATTTTCTAGTTCTCAGCCTTCTAGTCACAAAAATATTAATACCTAGCATAGGATACTGAGCAGAAGCAACCAGCCCCAGAAAACTGGTAATGAAAATAGTAGTTTATAAAAGGAAATCTTTACAGATTAAATATAGTCTCACTTTATCTTTCTCCACCTGTTTCTTTAACAACTTTTTAGTCCCACTGTAAAAATCCTTGTTTGTTTAATTTGTTAGTCATTTGAACTTTTTATTAGTTGGAGGAATTATTTGGACAAATAGCTATAAAATAAAAGATAAAATTTTATAAGCAACTTTGTTATCATTTTGCCTCATGAATATGTTATTGAAATGTCTTTTAAACTTAGTAGAGATAAAATTTTAAATCTCAGTGTATTCTTTGTTCTTTATTTGTGTATTTTGTATTAGCCATGTAGAATGATATTCTCTGATTTTACCTGTGCACACAAGATTATATAAAATGTAGTTTTAACATGCACTTAATCTGAAGTACTGAACCAAGTGTCCTTTAAAACATATTTAAACTATATTAGTAATATACAAGTAGTGGGAAAATTTATTTCTACAAATACTGGGGAAACTGGAAAACATTGAAAGCATCTTTTAAAGTACTGAAAAATATTTAAGTACAATATAACTATATAACATAACTATTTTAAATTATAATTTTTAAATAAATGAAAATTTAACTGCCTTCAAATAGACATACTTTTTGACATGTGAAATTGATATTCCATAAATTGTTGCTGAATGTTAAATTCAATATAAATAACAATAAATAAAGTACATATGGTAAGCCTGGGATTCAGAAATTAGCTTTAAGATTCTCAAATACATAAAGACCTTCTTTGAAGGCACACAGATGTATTAATTTTTAATTTGCTTCTTTTTGATCTCTTAATTACTGAAAAAGATTTATTGGTTAATTTTAGGAAGGCAAGTGTTTGAAAAGTTTTGCCAAATACTGTCTTCTTTAAGTGACTGTATGGTAATGAAAAGTTAAGAGGAGAGCCAAATTAGATTGAATAATTGTTCAGTCATGTGGGTGAAGCTAGCTGCATAGCCCGGTTGTTAGACTGATTGCTCAAATTACATTGCCTGGGGTCCTGCACTTGGTTGGCTGTCTTCTCAGATCTTAACAAGGTTCTGGGAATTTCTTTTTCTGACAAAGTTTGCTTTGTATTTTCCCCTCCCCCTACCACCTCCAGGATGCTTCATCTGCAGACATCAGAAAAGCATATCGTAAGCTTTCACTGACTTTACATCCAGACAAGAATAAAGATGAAAATGCAGAAACTCAGTTTAGACAAGTAAGTGAAATATGCCTTTATATATATATTGTGACAATTGTATTAATAATTATTATCTATGGTTGAATATTAACTTACATGTAGAATATTTCCTTTTAAAAATGAAATAGTAGTCTAAAAATATAAATTTATTCAATTTTTAATGAAATAAGTTTTCACCAACATTTTGTAGTGTCAGACTCTCTAAATGCTTGGAGGGTCATAATTGTCATAATTTTCTTGTCTAAATTACAGCTTTTGTTTTTAAAAAGTGTATTTTAAGATAAGCTGTTACTTTTGCTGCTTTCACAAAGGTTCATTTTGACCTCAAGCATTTTTTTAATCTTCTTAAGGTGCTACCCAAAACATAAAACATTACTTATAGTTAAGATTTTGTCTGTTTATTGCACTTATGCACACATAGGGTTTTCTGCATGTACATTATAAAGCCTTCACTCACCTGTGTGTTATTTCTTATAGTTGAGAGTATTTTTGTTTTAAAGTAATGCTTCTGTTTTAGTTGGTGGCCATTTATGAAGTTTTAAAGGATGATGAACGAAGGCAGAGGTGAGTGTTTATTTATGCTTCTGAATTAAGATGTAGTTTCATGCCACATCTTCTAAAAAGAATTAAGTCTTATTGAACATTTTATTTATTATAAGTTGGTGTTCTATTTTCATTCCTTCCAAGAAATGCAGTGTTTACAACTGTATTTTTTACAAATGTAGTTTTTAAAAAATATTTTACAATTAAATGTAATTTTTTGTTGAAATATTTACTAGTTTGAATCAGAGTCTATAAGACTCTAAAATCAGGAGTCATAATATTAGGTGGTTCTGCTTCATAGATAAGATTTTTAACATGGATGTTTATGCCCTGGGAAATATAAATACTACTTGATTCCAAACAAATGTCCATTCTATTTGATATATCTTTATTAGCTCCTATCTGATATGTGGTTGTTGGTCTTCCTTCTCTCATTTCTTAAATGTTTATAATTAGCCTGTTAAAAAATAGTCAAGTTGATACATTCTCTTTCTTAGTTGTAGATGGACAGAATACCTTTATTTTGTTTATTTAGTTTTTGTGTGGTGCTGGGAATCAAATCCAGTGACTCACATGTGCTAAACAAGCACTCTATAACTGAGTCACAACCTAGCCCTTAGTACGCTTCCATATTTCCTCACTCTCAAAATAATTAACCAAATTTATGAGTGAGAAAATGATGTGGATAAGCCCATAGAAGATACAGATGGAAGAAAAATATTCATGCCTTTCTCATTTCTTTTGCCTTCTTCCCATTTCTTAATTCTGCTCAAGTTATTGTGTTTAGGGTTAAACCTCAAAGTGGAGGCAGCCTCTTACTCTGGGACTTTTCTGTGCCCCTTTCATAAGAGGGTAATACTCTTACATAGTGGTTTCTAATACCATTGACTTAAGAAGAGATTGCAGAGAGGCTCCTTTCCTTTACTCCCTTTAGAATGGGTGGAATATAGATACTATTGTGGGGCTTCGAAGTTTTATAAGTCAGACTCACAGTAAGATATACATTCAAAATAATACCTCAGGGGACACACACAAAACTGAAATAAAAGGCTCACAAAACCCTATTATATTTGAAAGAGACTTGATTTTTTTCCATTCTGGTCTGTCTAGTCTCCCAACCCACCAAAGCTGCTTTGGTTCATAAAATTGATTTCATGAGACATGGGCCACAATCCAAAATTTTAAAATGTTGCCTTACAGTTTTTAAAAAAAGTACTTAAAACAACAACAACCCACCAACCCCAAAGCCCAGTTATTTGAAATATAAGCTTAAATCCAACTTAAGTATTTGTATCTGTGTGTGGTGCTAAAAATACATCTTAAAAACAACCCTGAAAATAAGCTATGAACATTTTGAGTCTTTGTTCAAATGTATTGTCCAGAATTATTCTGTATCCTAAAATGTTAGCTACCACTCTTGGTTGTCATCTTGACTGTTTAGTTTGAATACCTCCTCAGTTTGTCAGATTGCAAAGCAAGGAATCAAGATATTCTCTTGAAGTATTCTTGGCTTTATAACAAGGGCTGGCATTGATCCAGGTACCATAGCAGACATTCCTTGGGTTTGAGATAATCTATAGTGTTGAAAGAGTCCTAAAAGTGTGTTGAAAGAAGTGTTGGTCATTCTGTGCAAATTTTCTAGTTAGTTCCTTTCAATGAGCCCCTACTTTTGTTTCACACATCAAAAATGTGTCTGTAAAGATAGCTTTATTTAGTCTTCCAACATCCTTAGCATCAGATTTTGACTTTTTGTTTGTTGTTGTCAATAAACTTTGTAACAATGTCTTTCAGTTACTGAAATTATCTGTCTTTTCATATGAATCACTTCTTATGTATAAGCTGTCTTTTCATTAACATAAACTCATCTAACATTATCTCTCTAGGATTAGTTCCCTCTGCGTTTATTTTAGAGTATTGGTAGAAAAAAATGGATCTGACAGTTACACAAACAGCTGTAGTATTTAGACCCCTTGAGGCCCAAGTAACTCTTTGGTAACTGGTTTTCCTTGAGGCAAAAGTCTTAACTAATCAAGCTGAGATTCACTCCTCTAAAGCTTGCGCCTGAGGCCAGGTGACCTGTGAGTATTTAAGTGAGAAAGGCATCTCTGCAGACAATTACCTAATGTTCATAATTCCTTAAAGAAAGAAAGAATAGAACACAGCTTTATCTTCTACAGAAGAGTGTCTCATGTTGGCCTTAAAATATTCTTGATATCACAATTGTTTATAATAAATATTCATTAAATAAGAGCTTTTAAAAGTATAACCTTCTAGGGCTAAGCATATAGCTCAGTGGCAGAACACCTGCCCAAAATGTGCAAGGTGCTGGTTTGGAGTTTATCCCCTGCACACACACTAAAAGTGATCTTCTAGGAATTTGCAGTTTGGAAAATTGTCAGACATGTTTTCTTTTCTTTTTTTTTTTTCCTTACGTGTGAAATAATCAGATGTATTATCTAAATTTTGGTAGAAAAGGGAAGAGAAATGAAATAACCACCAAACTGGATAATGTTTTTAAGAAAAACACAAGTATTATTTTATTTCATGACAGCCAAAGTGTTAATTATATATCATGAAAATCTTTTGCTTTAAGTTTACAACTCATTTACTGTTGGTAATGTACAGAGTTTTACAAACCATCACCGCAATCCAGGTTTTTAATATTTCTATTATTTCAAAAAATTCACTCAAGGGGTTGTGGCTCAGTAGTAGAACACTTGCCAAGCATGTGTGAGGCACTGGGTTCTATTCTCAGCACCATGTATAAATAAATAAAATAAAGGTTCATTGACAATTAAAAAATATTTTTGAAAAAATTCACTCAAAACTCATTTGCAGGCACTCTTGTCTCTGATCCCTATCTCTGGGCAGTCACTGATCTACTTTCATGTCTGTAAATTTGTCAGTGCTGCTTATTTCCTATAAATGGAATCACGTATTATATATAGTCTTTTGCATCTGGCTTCCTTCTAGAAAATAATATTTTTGAGGTTTATCCACATTGTAGCACTTCATTCTTTTTTATTGCTAAATAGTATTCCATTGTGTAGATATACTACTTTTGTTCATCCATTCACCAACTGATGGACCTTTGAGTTGTTTCCACTTTTTGGTGATGTTAAATAATGCTGCTATGAATATTTATGAATAAATCTTTGTGTAGACGTGTGTTTTCATTTCTTTTGGGTAGATTCCTAGAAATGCAATTATGAATAAACTTTTAGACCCCTATTCTCTCAAAGGCATAAGCTGTAACATGAAAATAACAGGTTTTACTGGTTAGTGGTGTGAGGAAACTTAGCATAGCAGCCTTTCTTAAACTTCTTAGGTAACTCACTTATTTTGGGGAACAGTAGCCCAGCTATGTTCCAACATAAATTTCTATACATGTGCCCTGAGTTTAGCTAAATGTTGGGTACCAGTCATCATACACACACACACACACACACACACACACACACACACACCATATATATGTAACTGTATATATACGTACATATTAAATACAAGTATTGGGTAACAGTCTCTCTCTCTCTCTCTCTCTCTCTCTCTCTCTCTCTCTCTCTCTCTCTCTTAATTATGTTAGTTAATATGACTAAAGTACAATTTATTTAGTTAATATGACTAAAGTACAATCTACTTATGTGTATATATATATATACACATTACATTGTGCTTTAGTTATATTAACATCATTTACTTTTGTTTTAAATCTGTTATAAATTTTAACCAGTCTTATTTTGCAGATTAAAATTTTTTTGTGTATTTTGTTTCTGTATTTATGAAAGTTGAATGTATTTTTTAGTTTACTAAATGAAATCATGTTTTGTTTACAGTGCAATTGAAAGTATAGTTATCAGCCTCAGTTAGTTAAAATTTTAAAAATCCATTACCTAGTTATTGTTGTTTGATTACAAATTTGTTTTAATCAAAATAAACATTAATCTGAGAATTAAAAAATCTCATTTTAGAACTTACCTAATTTGAAGATATGACACATATACAATGTAGAAAGTGCTAAGTACCACAATTTTTAACATATATATATATATATATATATATATATATATATATATATTATATGTTAAATATATATAAACATATTTAAAGAAAGCATAGGATCAATTAATTTTGTCTTATTTTCTGTTTATGATCTCTGTATAATTAACTTTTACTGGAAAGTTTGAAATCTGACCCAAATTAAAGTTATGTTGTTGTTAAGCTAAAAATTTAAGCTTTATATGATGGGAATCACAATTTAGGCAAGTGCCAGAATTATTCATTTTAAAAATACACAAATTTTCTATTTTAGTTACATAATTTCTGTTTTGTTTCAAAATGTACTGGTATTTTAAATTTACATAATTTTTCCTGTTGGTAATTCGAAATTTTAAGGTTTTACTTACTTTCTAAAAACTATATTAGGCTGAATATGTTTGATGAACTGTGGGTTCTGAATGGAACTCACTAAAGATTAGACAACCATTATTTCATGTTTATCACATAGATTTTAAGAAAATCAAATGAAATAAGCATGCATTAGGTCATATGTTAGATATGTGGAATTGATCAGTGTTTTTATTTAGAATAAAATACCTTACAGTTATATACTTTTTGCCTCAATGATATTTTTATCATAGAGATTTGCTTCTCTGTGTAAAATATTTATTTTTAGTTTTAGGTGGACACAATATCTTTATTTTATCTTTATGTGGTGTTGAGGATTGAACCCAGTGCCTCACGCATGCTAGGCGAGTGCTCTACTGCTGACACAACCCCAGCCCCATTTCTACATTCTTGATCTGGTTTTCACACACAATTAAGAACAGTTTGTATCAGTCTCAATTACAGAGTATTTTAACAGTGTTATGTGCTTAAATATAAAAACATGATAAAGGGATGTCTTAAATTTTGTGGTGTTAACACATGTTTTTCTTTCTTTTTTCTTTTTTTTTAAAGAGAGAGGGAGAGAGAGAGAGAGAGAATTTTTTTAATATATATATATTTTTTATTTATCAGCGGACACAACATCTTTTGTTTGTATGTGGTGCTGAGGATCGAACCCGGGCTGCACGCATGCCAGGCGAGCGCGCTACCGCTTGAGCCACATCCCCAGCCCATAACACGTTTTTCTTTAAATAGCTTATTGAAAAATACAGTGCCTGTGTATTTTAAAAGTATATTTTTCTTTTCAGTGTTTTATCAGGAAAGCAGTAATTTATCTTTTAACAGTATAAATTCTAAAAAGTGAATTATAATAGAAGCCATCTTCCCTTAAAATGATCAGTCCCCTAGGTCATAATGTTCATTGATAATAAAATCAATAGAACATGATTCTAAGCTTAATCCTTGGACACTATTGTTTAGAGTGGCAACATAATCTAATAAATATCTGGTTGTGTTTAATGTGTTCAGTACACAGGGTTTTGCTACTTTTGGATTTGGTTGTGCACTAAATACAGTTTATATGGGGAGTAGAAAAGTAATTATTAACAGATACTTAGCATTTTCAGCAGTATTGATAATAAAATATTTGATAGGAAATTCTTAGCTATGAGTTCAACCATGTATTTTTCCAGTGCAGTTTAGATATAAAACAAATTTAGCATTTAGTACTGCTACTAGGAAATTGTCTCCACTTTCTTAGATGGTCTTCATTAATAACCTTACTTTTTTCACAAAGTCATTTCAGAGAGATTTGCTGGAGATAATAATTTTTATATTAGGATCCTCCACCCCAATGAATATGAAGTAAAATAAGGATTTATAATAAACTTGGAACTTAACATTCATTGGACTTCATTTGAATGTTACAATCGTGTGCTGTAGTAATTGAAACCTTTTTACCTTTCCACATCTAGTTTTAAATGAGACAGTTTTTTTAAAAAAATAGATTTAAATATAATTTTTAAGAACAGTAATGGTAGGGTTTTTGTCATTATATTTTGATGCTAATATTCAAGAATTGCTGCAAATATTGAAAAGGAGGATATTTAGCATCAAATCTTTCTTGACCCTGCCACTGTACAACCATATTTTAATTTCTATATTCTCACATAATACACAGTTTGCATTTTAAGAGTTTAATGTTAATTAATTTTCTTTGTTTTCAATATTTGGTTATTCTGATCTAATAGTATTATTAATAATCTAAGTTGATTTAATAGTCAGATGTTCTAAAATTGCCAATAAAATATATTTTGCATTAATAACCAGTCTTTTCTATGGAAAATAGAAGTTGCCTGTAATAGACCCTCTGCTTAAATTTTTTTTTAGTATATCTCCAAGGTATCAATTTAATAACTATCAAAGTAGCTACTGCAGTTGTAGCATTTAAATTGATTTACACGTCAAGACTGGCAGTTTAGCAGCTGCGCTATTATTCCTAGATCGGTCAATTTACTTGAGAAAAACCTACTACTGAGTTCTGCTGACCTGCCTGACAATATAGACCCTATTTCTATTCCTGTAATTAGGCCTGCGACTAACTCAGAATATTTTTAATTAAAATATTTTGGTCAATGTGTTGCACCAAATTAGGCCTTTCAGTGAAGATTTAATTCTGGATATAGTGTGATTAGAATATTTAATGAGTTGTGTTCAATTAAGATTAACAGGTTACGTGTGTTGAACATAACAGTGTTTGTGACCATTTTGTGTTTCACAGTCATAAACAATTACTTCTTATTTTTAATCTTAAAAATATTTGCTTTAATAACTGATAGGTAAATTTAAATTCAGTTGAAATTTTATTTTAAAGAAATTTTTTAAATAAAAAAAATATACTTTATCCCTATAGTACCAGGAAAGATAATTTAAATGTATTGCAAGGAAAGGTTTTTTTACTTATTAATGTTCTTCCTTCCCAGCAAAAGCCAAAAATGAGGAAATCGCCACTTTTTAAATGGTTACAAATAAGCAGTTTTATGAAATCTGATATAAATGTTGGCTGTTTCCATATCCCTTTTTTTCTAAAGGAAATTGAGCAATACAAAATACAAAGTGCTCATTTTATAGCTTTAATTTTTTTGCATAAAATAAGGCATATAAATGTTTTAACTTGAATCCCCATAGTATGAGGTTAGAACTAAAAACACAGACTAAAAAATTTATCCTGAATTTGATTCAATATATATGTAATTCATGGTAACAAAACCTCTGATTTTGATTTTTCTCCCAGCAAGAGCCTTCCTTTTCTTGTGGACTTTTGTGGTATAAGCTTTTTCTTGTGAACTTTTTGTGATGCGAGACTGTGGTAGACAGGTAAATTATTTTACCTCCTTTAGTTTAGATCCTGGGGTTCTGTAAAACATAGTGTATTCTTTCTGTGCACATTCTTAAAGGTTGTCAGTATTTGGAGCCACATACAGTGCTTTGAATTCACTAGACATTATATGCTGGCAATCTACATAATTTATGTTATCTATTTGGGAAAATTCTTTTTAAAAAAAATATAGGTATAAATAAAGCTTTTTGTTTTTATTTTAAAGTCCCTATGGATAATCTTTATATTTGCTACTGTAGGTATGATGATATTCTGATCAATGGACTTCCAGATTGGCGGCAGCCTGTATTTTACTACAGGCGGGTGAGAAAAATGAGCAATGCTGAGCTGGCATTACTCTTGTTCATTATTCTCACAGTGGGTCATTATGCTGTGGTTTGGTCAATCTACCTGGAAAAACAATTGGTGAGTATTGGTGATAAATCAAATGATCTGGCTTCCTTCATTTCATGTGGAATTTCAGACATTTATTTTTCAAGTGATGAGAATTTCTATTTTCAGCATATACTCATCATTCTAATAGTTTTACACTCAATAGTTAGTGTTTTATTTATTCCTAAGAAGTACCAATGAAATAAGAAAAATAATACTTCTTTTTAAAAAATATGGCACTCAGGGGCTGGGGTTATGGGTCAGTGGTAGGGCATTTGCCTAGTATGTGTGAGGCCCTGGGTTCAATTCTCAGCATCACATATAAATAAATAAAATAAAGGTCCATTGACAACTAAATATTTTTTAAAATATGGCACTCATTTTAAAACTTTGCGAAGGTCTGAATATCTAGCTGAAAATAAGAAAGTACATGTTTTCTTAATTATCATCTTTTAAATATATTATTTTTTAATGTAAGATTGATTCTTGAAACTTTTTGTCATAGGCCCTTACATAATGAATGTTTATTTTAAAAACATTTTAACTAATTCATAAGATTCAAGATTAATGTATTTTATGACTTCAGAGATTGGTTTAACAGAAAATTATTACATTTTTCTTGGTCTGAAATGCTATTATACACTTTATTCTGCCATGGGTTTTTATTTATATGCTAAAGGTAATCAAACATATTTATCAGGATTCATGAATTAGAATCTGTTTACTCATTCCTTTTGAAGAGACATTATTAAAGTCGCATGAATGAGAAAAAGTAAGTTGAATGCTTTTTCTTAGAAAACTTCGATTGCTATGGAGATGCACATGACTGACAGTGCCAAACTTCATGTGTGTAAAGGCCTGGATACCATGGCAACAGTTATTGTGAAAGATTGATGATTTTACTTAATTATGTTGGACCTTACATACATTTGCATAAATGTACCTCTGAAGTGTTTACTCTTCACAGAAGCATCTTGATAACATTTAAGAATACATGTTAATGATAACCTGTAACCATAATTCTTTCCACATTAAGGATGAACTGCTTAGTAGAAAAAAGAGAGAAAAGAAAAAAAAGACCGGCAACAAGAGTGTGGATATATCAAAACTTGGTGCTTCAGAAAAAAATGAAAGGTAGGAGTATATAAAAATACTTTATAACTTGAAACTTTTTAAATGTCTTTAATATGAGTCAACTTCATATGTATATCCATTTCACATATGCTCTCATTTTTATCTATAGTAGGTTTATAAAGACTAGTGAGCTGAAGTTTGTAAGACAAATTCTAATCTTTAAGAAAATTAGTACAGGTTTTCTTTCCTTATGAAGTGCTCATATATATTTAAATAATATAAACTCTCAAATTCTTGTAGTATGAAATTTTTGTACTAAACTTTAGAAACAAAATATTACTAAAAGAATCTATCTCTTAGCTCAGGAATGACAATATATAAAGAGGCAGTGATATGCGGTACACTCAAAAAGATACCATGATTTCTTCTATTGATTCATAGAAATAAATAAAGGGTTTAAATAGTTCACACAGCATGACATAAACTGGATCAATGTGGGATGGAGATCAGAGACCATTCTGCCTGTCTTCTATTCTGATGACATCAGTGAGTAATACTTCAGTGAACTGCAAATGACATTAATTTTTATGTATTGGTTTGTTTATGCTACAGTCTTCGGATCTGGTTGTCAGCACTTGGGAACATTCTGACTATGGTTAGTCTTTTATAGCTGAAGTAATCATAAGGTTTAAGAATTCATTATGCAAAAATGATGAAAAGTTCAGGTTAGAAAGAGGATTTTTGTTTGTTTGTAATTTGAGTATGAGTCTCCTTTCCCAAAATCTTAACCTAGATTCTCTTACTTGCTATATATTATTGCATTTGTAAGTATTGCATTTCATAGTAGAGTAAAATTAAGTGATAACATCATAAGTATTTCATTGAATACTTTTACTTTTTTGGTTAAAATAGGTGTTCAAAAAAGAATTCATGATCTTTTAAAAAACATTTTGTTTTGTTTCCTAGCATTTTCTATTTCACTGATGTGTTTGGGTTTTTCCCCTTTTAGATTGCTAATAAAACCACAGTGGCATGATTTGCTTCCATGCAAGCTAGGAATTTGGTTTTGCCTTACACTAAAAGCCTTGCCTCATCTAATTCAGGTAAAAGGTACTTCTTTCATATCCTATTAGATGCTTTCTCTTTTAGTTATTCATGAAATAATTTAGGCCAGTGTCTGCTGTATGAATGCTATTATATGCTTCATAAGATTGAATGAGTTGAATGATATTTTTATAAGTAGTTTAGAGTAGTTTCAAGATTGTTTAGTTATCTTATTTCTATAATTATCTTTTATTTTTGCTTTTAGAACACCTTAGAATTCCAGGACACTAGGAAAAGGAAAAAAAAATCTATTGTTAGGACAGATATAAAAGCAGTAAAAGTTTAATCTGCTATTATCATGAAAGGCATAACCAGTAAAAAGGAACAGAACTCAAGTGGCTTATCACCTATTATTTTAATAGCATTTGAGTACATGATGTTTTTTTTTTTTTTTAAAAAAAGCCCATAACATGAGCATCTGTGTAATTATGCAAAAATACATATATATTGCTTTCCATTTATTTGGAATTTTAAGAGGAGTGAGGACATTTTGTTTTCTGATAATCAGAGTGTCTGTTTCAAGATAATACCCAATAAAATGTGGGTATATTTATTTATATGGCAATTAACATAAAAAATGTGTTCTATTAAATTATTGCTTTTGCTAATTCTAATTGTTTTGCTTACTTAGAAAATTCCCAACACATAAATATAATACTTGAAAGTAAGTAAATACTTTTTACTGCAGAAATTTTTGAGATTATAATTTTGGAGGAGAAATGTTTTGCTTCAGTAAATAAGTGTGTTTAAGCTAGAGAACCAGTTCTGCCTACTTTGTCTTTTGTTATCATCAGAGCTGTCAATCTTAAATACTTATTTGTTATTTTATTCTAAGTAATTTGCAGTCATTTATTTTATAAAATTAACATATTTCTTAGCATGCAAGATAATTTGCCAAACAAGAACTAATGTATTTCAGTGGCTTACCTTTACAATTTATTTTAAATTATTTGCCTATGGTATCTAGACCCATCAGATTAAACAACTGTTTTGCTTAATCATAAATTTTTAGAAAATAAGAAATTTTACAAAATCTTTAAATTCTTTTTAGGAACTATTTTCTTAAGCTGTTTAATTGGTTTGAATTTTAAAGTTTCTACTATCTTTTGGTACCTTTTGCCTATCAACTTTTAGATACTTATGCATTAGCCTTTTAGGGCCTCTATAAATCTAACTTTCAAATTTTAAATCTAATAATTTAAATTATTTCTTCCTCACAAATGCATTCTAGAAGGAAAACAAGATGATTTTTTCCTTTTGCTTAAGCAAATTCTTGATATTTTTATAATGATTTGAAGATTTTTCTGAACTGGTTGTGGTAGCACACACCTGTAATCCCAGCTACCCTAGAGGCCAAGTCAGGGGAGCACAAGTTTGAAGCCAGTTTTAGCAACTTGGCAAGACCCTGTGTCAAAATAAAAAAAAAATAGTAAGGCCTGAGGATGTAGCTTAGTGGAACAGCGCCCCTGGATTCAATTCACAGAAAGGGGGGGGTAGGATAGAGGAGGAAGGAAGGAAGAAATGGGAGGGGGTGGTCTGAGGAAAAGGGAGGTGAAAGGGAGAGAGGGAAAGGAAAGAAGAGAGGGAGAAAGGAAGAGGCAAGATCAGTTTTTCTGGTGGTCACTGAAAAAATAATGTAATACAGTTTGCTTTTACTGATTGTAGTAGTGTAATAAGTATTTTAAATTGGTAGACATATAATTTATGTAAGACATTAGCAAAATAATACTGAATAGTTGCTGTTAGGATTAGATTTTTGTTTATCTTTTTTTTTTTATCTGTTGTGACTTTGTATTAATTCATAATAAAATTCTATATTAGTTCATCCATAAAACTCTATAATGTGAATACATATGCTTGATGATACACGTTTTTATGTGATACTTTTTTGAGAACCTCTTAAATAGCATACTTAGGAAATTTAGAAAAATTCATTTTAACAGAAAGCAATCTGAATTGGTGATTGGTACAATAGTCAAAAAAGGGCCCTACTAAAGACCTAAGAATAAAAGTCGGGTATGGCAGTGCACACCTATAATCCCAATGGTTTAGGAGGCTTTAACAGGAGGATGGCAAGTTCAAAGCTAGCCTCAGCAATTTAGCAGTGCCCTAAGCAACCTAGAGAAAAATGTCGAAAAATGAAAAACTGAAAAGGCTGAAGATGTAACTTAGTGGTAAAGTGCCTCTGGGTTTAATTTCCAGAATCCCCTTCCCCAAAACAAAAGCAAAACAAAACCAAAATAGATAGAGACCTGCGCATAAAAAATGACACATATAGCCTTAAACATTTTAAACATGTACTTCACATTTAATCACTACTCTAGTAATATAGAGCTATTGTTGTATTTTTAAAAGAGTATTCATTGGTTGGAGTTCCCTGTCCTTTTCCTTGCATAAACCATACCTATAATCTCAGTTTCTTTAAAGACAATCCCAATCTTGATATCTTTAAAGAAGAATCTAATTAGACTCTTAGGAAACAATGTCATTGCAGAATCCTTATATAGTTTTTCATCTCTAGTTAAAAGCATCTTTAGCAATCTTACATGGAGCTTTCCAAAACACTAAACTTGGTTCTCTTAGAAACAACTTTTAATTCCTACTCGTATTTTATCTTTTTAACATGGTTTTTAATTGACTTGTGTAATTACAAAAACAAGTATAACTGACAAAAATGGGTTTTTTGTTTATTTTGTGGTACTGGACATTGAATCCTGAGGTTGCTATACCTTTAAGCATACCCCCAGCCCCCTTTTTTTTTTATTTAGATACAGGGTCTCATAAAGTTGCCCATGCTGGCCTTGAACTTGTGATTCTTCTGTCTCCTGAGCAGGTAGGATTACATAGGTTTAAGAGCTAACACAAACAGCCCTTGTAAGCATAAATAAGCAGATATTAATTAACAAGAGTTTTACATCTTGAGTGAGCCTCTTGAATTTTCATGAAAAATTAAGTAAAACTGAGCTGCAAATATTCTATGTAAGTTTTTAAAAGTGGGAGTTTTCCAGCAAGTGCAGTTCACTCTGGAGAATCTGTATCCAAATCTTGTCATAGCAACATCCCTTCCCAACTTATTTTCTTCCCATTCATCCTCTAAATATCCTTTTCTTTACTACATTTTGTATACATATAGAGTTATCTACTGGATTGGGAAAAGTGATAGTTTTGACTCACTTATGATCCAGGTTATATTTGTTACACAACATTAAGGATCTCTAAGAAAACTCTGTTATTTATTGCCTATTTAGGTTACCCAAATTTATTTTCTGTACCCCCAAGAAATACTTACAAATGACAATAGTTCATTCATATACATATAGATATATACACACACACATAATTTATTATATATAGAATATTTAAGCTTCATGTGGTCATATGTTTAAAAATAATGCAGCCATTTGAATAAAAATGTATAAACACATGTAAAAATAAGGCACTACAAGGGACTTTAGAAATAAATATGCCTTCTAGGATGTAAGTCAGGTAACAGTTACAACACATGAATTGAAATAACCAGGATTCAATATGGTATATAAGTTTCACATGTATAGTATAAACAGTGACTTCTGAGGATGTTCAAAGATGTAAGTTGTATCTATTTAGCATGACCAGGAAAAACTGAAAAGGGGAGCCACTTGAACCAAGTCTTGAAAGATGAATAGACCCTTAACAGTAAAGTACCCACTTTGTGAAATAGGTCGTATACAAAGATAATATCATAGATATAGTACTTCCCATACAATCAGTTTATTAATATACTGTGTTAAATCTGAAAGAGATCTAAGAAAAACATTGCACAGTGGCTTTTTTTTTTTTTAAAGAGGATATCACATAGCCCATTAGTATCATCTACAATTATATTCTGTGCCTCCAGATGCTGAGTATATCAATTAAGGAATTTACATTCTAATAGATGATCAGGGATTTATATTCTAGTAGATAAATATGATACAACAAGTCTAAAATAAAACATTTAGACAGAATAAAGTTACTTGATAGAATAGGAAAGTATTTTTATCTTACTTGTCTGCAAAGATATGTGTACAATGTTAGAAGTGGTAGATACAAAGCACATAATGGTTATTAAGTGGGTAGAAAATACTCTTGAATGATTCTGTGATCAGGCAGGGTAGAGGTAAAAGTATGTTTTTGTAGTACCCTTTGCTTTTTTCTTTTTCTGTTTCTTTCCTGTGCTAGGAATTAAACACAGGGCCCTTGCACATTCTAAGCATAAAATGTACCACTGGGCTACATCCCAACCCATATCCTTTGCTTTTTGAGAAGGTTCTTATTTCCTCCAGTACTAAGTTGTGTTCCTTCTTTTTCTCTAAAAAGGATATTGTGATGATGATAAGAATTTGGTAGATTAGAAAAACAATGCTATTATACTTGACATGTTGCTGTATAACATTGTTGATAATGTTGACTTAATAAATCAAACATTTCCTAGATGGGTTCATATTCAAGGAAAAGATCGACAGAAATTGCTATTTAGCAAAATATATGCCCCATATCATTCATGTACTTACACAGGCAGAAATGTAAAAGAAGTCAAATGAGAATTGAGAAGTAGATAGAAGGCTAGTGTGTGCTTGGAGAGGTAAGAACACTGGAGAGGAGTAAGATGCATTTCTATATGCAGGGAAGTTTGGGAAACTTGAAAATGTTTGTGTGAATAGTTAAGAAAGCATGAAGAATGATCAGCATAAGATGTGGAATATGTATTAGAATATATCAAGGAACTTGGACTCTTTTAAGGCATGGCTTATATGCATTGAGGCTAGAAGTTATTTGTAACATATAAAGTATAGCCCCAGTGACACTCTCACATCTTACGAGTTTGTTTATGTCTTCATGATAGTTTTGAAGGGAGTACACATTCTTTTAAGACTCAACCTGTCATTAATGTTGTTGTTATTCAGTGTTTAATTCCAGGAAATTATTCTAACCTTCATAATGTCTTTCTGGGATGTATGTGTATGTGTGCATTGGGGAT